AAAAAAACCACCGGCAATGTACCATTTCGGTACTGGCATTCAACGCTCTCCTTTTGCCAATTTCAGTACGGGCACAGTACCTTGAATTTACCGACAGTATACCGTCTCGGTACTTGACATTTGACATTTTCTTTTATTAATTTTTGTACAGATACAGTACCGTAAATTTACCGGCAGTATACCATTTCAGTACCATTATTCAATACCGATTTAGATAATGGGTTAGTACTAAACCATTGTTATTTTAATACTGGTTTTGTACTATTCCAGTACCGAAATGTAAAACCCGTTTTTCGGTACTGGATCTGTATCTCGCCAGTATCTAATTCTAGTCTGATGTATGAAATTCCCACATGGGTGTGAGAATCGTTTTTTGCATTTTGTAGAAAAATTATTATTGTTAATATAGAAAACGTGATGCAGAGAAAAAAACTAAAAAAAATATTATTACTATTCGTATCATTACTGCCTACAATAAATATTTTTACTCGCATGTATAACACATATTTAAAAAAATATAAATTTTTAATTAACAAAATGCATAGCACTGTTTTGTTGGTTTTTTTCTGAAACTGGTTAATACACAAAAGTATATAAAATATATAATTTTATCAAATTTAATGTTTGTAAAATTTACGAAAAATATTCAACAAGCACATTTTTAATAATTAGTCACTAAATTAAGTATGAAATTTATCAGATTATTTATATTGCTTAGGAAAATGTAATAATATAAGTTTATATGTCAAGGAAGATATCTATGCATGTTTCATGTGCCTGCCATTTATACTAATTACAAACTAATTATTCTCTTGAGGGCATTCTCTCGCGACATTAATTGCAGTTGCGAATTTTGTTGTCGTTAAACTTTGCGTTCATAAGACCTACAGATCGCAGGACTTGTGTTAGGATGTCGGACGATCGATTAGCTCTCCTGGCACGTGGTTATTGAGTATCCTCGGCGGTGTCTCCGTGGTTTGTACGAGATAATCGAACTTGGCGCGCAGATGGTGCACATCCGAGATAGCAGCGGATGCGAGCGTTACATCATTACAAGCTCCGCCATTGATTGGTACTCAACTCGGCTCGCGTTTCGTTCTATTGCGCAATACAACGCAACATGATTACACGAGAAACAAGATTCGCAAAATTGCACTGGCCAAAACAATTTCATAGAACGAGACAAACGCGATTAAAAGAACTAAAGTACCGCGTTGACATAAATTTTGTAGCATCTGTATCGAAAGCAGAAGAGTGTAAGTCCAATAGTTAGTCAGCATTAATTATCAAAATATCAAATAACAAAATTTCCCTTTTGATTCTTTGACAAATTTAAAATCGAATATTTTTTAGCCAAAGTGTTGAAAGAGGTTATTTATTGTAAATCTTGAGTTCTCAATACTATCTATGTTTGCAAATAAATTTTGAATTTATAATTTGAAATAAACGAAACAATATAATTATGTCATCTATTTTTTCTCATAAAGCTTACAAGGGGAGAACCAAGCTTTAATATCACAGATTTTGCCGAACTTGAAATATATTGTAGTATACCCCTCACACTACTATACGGTATAATAACTGTTGCCAATGCGCAATAATTTATAAGAAATTATTGTTTAAAGTTTACCGTGTGCGTAATATACCGAGCCGGTAAAGACCGTTACCATAGATTAAACATAGTCGAGCGAGTAAGGTAACGACTTAGAATGCTAGAGGTTTCAAGTTCAAACCCTACCGTGTACAATTATTTTTTCACAATTTATTTTAATGCAATCGAATTAAATAAATCATAATTTTAACGAAAAATATTATTTCCTAATTTAA